TGAGCCTACTTCTTTGCTCTAGCTCAGAGTCAAATTTCTGCCTGAGCTTACTTCCTACCAAGTTTCTAGAAGCAGCCTCAAAAGCTCTCCACAGTTTTTCATGGGTTTGGTGCTTTCAACTTTATATATATAGTGCATTTTAGAGGAAAGTGTATGTTAGTATTCTATTTGTGCCACACCTCCCACTTGTGGACTCTGTTGTAACAACACACCATGCTCATTTACCAAACAGAATCTCTGTAGAATGTTAATTAGGAAGCTCTAAAAAACCAAAACAACAAAACAGCAACTAAGGTCCAATCACACTAGGAAATTCTAGGCCACCTGCAGTTGAAGAATTCTGTTACTGTAGGAGTCTTAGAGACTGCACCCATAATATTCACTGTGAATTTACAGAAGGAAGTAAACTGTGTTTCATAAATTCATTTGGCAGACTAATTTTTTTTAAAAGCATTTAATACACTGGTTCTCCACCTGAGGGTTGAATGGCTCTTCACAGGGGCCACCTAAAACCACCAGAAAACACAGATATTTGCATTGCAATTCAGAAGTAGCAAAATTACAGTTATGAGGTAGCAACAGAAGTAATTTTATGGTCTGGGGTCACCACAACATGAGGAGCTGTAGTAAAGGGTTGCAGCACTAGAAGATTGAGAATCACTGGAACATTTAATAGAAATGTGGCCCAGGACAGGTGGATAACAGCAGTGCTAGATATACAGATTACATATTGAACCATAATGCTAGACACAGCAATCTTTTTTTTTTTTTAAATTTTTAAGAAGTTAAAGAAATGTTAGATTTCCCAGTTCTGATGGCTGGAATAAGATAGTCATCAAGATCTTATGAGAATTGCTTTCTGGAAATGAATGGGCTTTTAGTTAATGTTCTTTTTAAACCAATTTTTTCCTGTCATCTTATTTTACTCTTATATAGTGAAAAACAAAATAAAATATCGGGCTGAAGCATGCATTAAAATGCAGAAAACCATCCGAATGTGGCTTTGCAAGAGGAGACACAAACCACGGTAAGAGGAACAATGTCTATGCATCTACAGCACTACAATATAAGCTGACAGTGAAGTCATGGTGAAGAGCGTATGGGTCCCGTATTCTTTGCAAATGGCCTGTTTGTACTGTGTATTCGGAATCAGCACCTTCATTACTTAGCTTGGTGTTCTGCCAAACTGAGTGACCAGCAAAAATGTGAACTCTAAGAGGTTGGAGTGAAAAGCTGAGATGGACCTGCTGTTCTGATTACTTTATAATTTGAGTTTGTCAATGATACCAGGTTAAACACTGCCTGATCATAAAATCGAAATTGCTCATAAAATCATCTTGTTTTATGTATGTTTATAATTTTACTGTATATATTGTGTTTTCTATCTGATTTAAACTTTGTATTGTCAAGTTACTTTTTAAGTGTTTGAAGCTTGAGTAGGTATTGACACCACACCTTTTCAAAGAGATGCATGATCATTTGAGTTTTATAATTTGAGTCCTCGTTTTTCATTGTAAATGTAGCTGGCCTCCATCTTGTTGGCAGTCATCAGTACTATTCATCTGTGTATTTGATTCTTGTTATACTTTATGAGAGACCTGAAAAGAATAGTAACTGATACTGAAGTCAGAAGTAGCCTGCCCTCTTCAGGCACAGTGCTTGCTTTCTACTGATGAGCATCTTTGCTAGGACATCAGTCTGTGAGGTAAATGTGTGATGGAGCCCTTCCATTGCAGGATTGACGGCCTGGTTAAGGTGGGCACACTGAAGAAACGACTCGATAAGTTCAATGAGGTCGTAAGTGCACTGAAAGATGGAAAGCCGGAGGTGAACAGACAGATCAAAGATCTTGAAATTTCTATTGATGCTCTGATGGCCAAAATTAAGGTGGGTAATTTTAATCTAGCTTACTTGAACTTTTTATGTAATTTGCTGTTTTTTTTTTTGTTATCAGTGTTGAAGTTGTATAGGAAAGTATCCTTATTCAAAATATAAAACATTACCAAGTGGATACTCATATTAACCTTTTCTGAATATTTGAAAAAGTTTCATAGTAAAAATTTTTAAATGCTTTTCTTCTTTCCAAAGGCAACTTTTGTTCTGTATTATTCATTTTTCTTTCTGGGGGTGCTGGGGACTGCATGCAGCACACTGAATGTGCCCAGCGGATGCCCTTCTTCAGAAATGAAACTGCTAAGTTATAAAAGTAATGTCATTGTTGAAAACGGAAAGAAAACCACCCAAAACTCCTTGATAGTGTCACACTTAAGTGTTCAGCTAGCATTTGCTGTATTTCCTCGATGGTCTCACTTGTGTGCAGGTGCTTTGCGTAGTTCTCTGCCATAATCATGCATTTCATGGTGTATTCCTGCTGTTATGTTACTTGATTCATTGTGGTTAATACATTACCCTTATTAATTACATAGTTATTTTAAAAGTAGCAATTAATTTTCTTCATTTTTTAAAGGAAAAGTAGGGCTATTTTGGTTTTCATTTTCAATTGCTTGATTATTAATGTGACTGAAAATATGAAATTTTCTGTAATACTTGTTTGTTATCATAGTCCATCTTTTTCAATGTCGTCAATTATGTGTTAGGCTTACACAGGGTTTTTTCAGGTAGTGTTCAGAAGTCAATGTATGTGAATTAGCCTTTTTTGAACTTCCTGTGGACAGGGCAAATATTAGAGGTAGAAAGAGAAAAGCATTCAAGAAAAGGCTGAATATGCTAAGGTGGGTTCAGCTGACTTTACAGCTCAAGGGTGAAATGAGTTTGTGAAGTTACCGCCGTCAATCAAAATTACCCCAGGAAAATCATGCAACAAGCTTAGCTGTACTTTCCCAACTGCTCCTACTAATTGAATGCTATGAAGAAAGAAAGTGAACTTTGGCTAAATGAGCTAGTCATTCCTTAAAAGTATTTTAAAGCTATGTTTGTACAGCTTTGTTTGCAGTGAGCTACAGATATTGATGGCTTGTTTGATAAACAGAGAATCTAATGATTATGTGTAGAGATAGCATTTGCAGACAATGTGAGCAGCTGACATGGTAGTGTATAACTGTCATCCTGGTGCTTGTGAGGTTCCTCACCTCCATACCTAGTTCAAGGTTACCCAGAATATCTATTTCAAAAGAAGATATGAATATGAATTTGTTGGTCAGCTTTGCTAGCTGTGTCTCTGTATCTTTTTAAACTATGAAAACCCACAAAATGTTGAGTTTCTCATCGTAACCACTTTACAGTGTACAGTTCAGTAATGTCCCTAACTGTGCACAGGAGGTAACTACATAATGTTTGTGATTTGTCTTCTTAAGTCCACCATGATGACAAGGGAGCAGATACAGAAAGAGTATGACGCACTCGTTAAAAGCTCGGAAGAGCTCCTCAGTGCACTGCAGAAAAAGAAACAGCAAGAGGAGGAGGCAGAGAGGCTGAGGCGCATCCAAGAGGAGATGGAGAAAGAAAGGAAGAGGCGTGAAGAAGATGAACAACGTCGGCGGAAGGAGGAAGAAGAGAGGCGGATGTAAGGCATTTGCATTGTTCTCACTAGAAGCTTACAGGATGAAGGATGATGGATGTTCTAGAACTGTATTCCTACTTTAATCCTACTTTAATTCCTACTTTATTTGTTTAATTATTTATTAATTCATTCATTCTTATTTTGTGTGTGTGTGTGTGTGTATGTATGTGTGTGTGTGTGTGACAGAGTTTCACAGTGTAGCCCAGGCTGCCCCGGGAACACTCATCTTCCTGCTACCCTCTTCTGAGTGAGGTTTAAACTTATACATCAAGATGCCTGGTACAAATCAACCAATTTTAGAATAAGTTTGAAAAAAATTTAAGTGCCCATTTTTTATAGTTATATGGAGTGGTTAAGTACAGGTTGAATGCTCTTAATCTAAAAATCTAAAAACTGTAAAAATCTAAAGTCTGTAAATTTTTATTGCATTTATTTGTGTGTGTGTGTGTGTGTGTGTGTGTGTGTGTGTATGTATGTATGTTTGTGTTACTTGTTTGCCATGGTGTTATGTGGAAGTCAGATAGCAACCTGTGGGAGTTGGTTCTCTCCTACCATGTGGTTTTATGGGACTGAGAGTATCAAGTCTGGTGGCAAGGGCCTTTACCCTCCTACTCATCTTGTTGACCCTAATGTCTGAAACTTTTTAAGTAAGCACACAAACTTGATTCATTCAATCTTCTTTATTTTATTCTTTGGCTTTTAGAGACGGCCTTGTAGCCCTGACTGACCTAGGTTTTGTTACATAAGCATACATACATACATAAGCATACATACATACATACATACATACATACATACATACATACATAAGTTGAAGCCTGCTGCCTTCCACTTTGTGGCAGTCCTCTTTCCACTGCCTCTCTCCATGCTGTGTTTACAGGCATTATCCATCTGCCTAGGAAATTCCCTTTTGCTCTAAAACATATTTATTGTACATGTTACTGGATTCATTTGATACTAACATACATGTATAGCACATTAGAGTACCCATCCATTGTTTCTCTTCTCCCTATCTTTTCTCCTGGCAAACACTCTTCAGAGTCCCTGGGATCACTATTCTGTTTTCAAGTAGACATCTCTCTTTTCCTCAAGTTTCACATAAGAGAGAACACATGGTTCCTGTGTTTCTTCTGAGTCTGGATTTTTTCACTTAACACAATGCCCTCAAGTTCTATCCACTTCACTGCAGACAGCAGGATTTCATTCTTCATCCATGACTGTGATCCAAGGCTGATTCTGTATCCTAGTTATTGTGAATAAGTGTGTTTGTACTCACGGCTATTCAGGTTGCCCTTTTATACACCAATGTCATTTCCTTTTTTTTTTTTTTTTTTTTTCGAGACAGGGTTTCTCTGTGTAGTCCTGGCTGTCCTGGAACTCACTCTGTAGACCAGGCTGGCCTCGAACTCAGAAATCCGCCTATCTCTGCCTCCCAAGGGCTGGGATTAAAGGCGTGCGCCACCACCACCCGGCTCCAATGTCATTTCCTAGGATTGTGAACTCATCATTACCAAGTTAGTCTAGCAGGGCTTAATGCTACAGAAGATGATTTGTTTGTATTTGCCTTATTGTTTAGGGCAGTTAAATTTTATGTCATTTGAACCAAATTGATAATGTGTGTGGTCTGAGGCTAACATGGGTTCATCCTGCTGTTCTCTGATGTTTGTTTATGTATAACTTGTCTATCTTTTGAAAGATTTCATTGTATGTTAAAACTCTGAAAAGTTCTCTCCCCTTTTCTTAGGAAACTTGAGATGGAAGCAAAGAGAAAACAAGAGGAGGAGGAAAGGAAGAAGCGGGAAGATGATGAAAAGCGGATCCAGGTGTGTGCTTATTGGGCTGCATTTCTCTCAAATAGAATTCCTTACGCAATGAAAGAAGTGGATCAAAACCCTGTGTTGTCGGCTTGGATATCAAAGATTACCTCGGCGGTTAAAGGGAGTGTGAGACGGGACATTGGTGCTAGGGAAGCCATGCTCAGGCCCTGTCTGCAAGCACATCATAGCATCAGTAATAGTGTCAGGCTTTGGTGTCCTGCCCGACTTCCATGAGATGAATCTCAAGTTGATCCTTTCCTTCAGTCTCTTCTACATTTTTGTTCTGGCAGTTGTTTTAGACAAGAACAATTCTGGGTCAGAAATTTTGACTGTGTGTTGGTGTAGGTGGAATCTCAGGGTTATTTTGATTTGCATTTTCCTGATCACTAAGGACTTTGAACATTTCTTTAAGTGCTTCTCAGTCATTCGAGATTCCTCTGTTGTGAATTCTTTGTTTAGTTCTATACTCCATTTTTTGATTGGGTTGTTTGGTTTTTTGGTGGTTAGCTTCTTGAGTTCTTTATATATTTTGGATATTAGCCCTTTATCAGATATGGAGTTAGTGAAGATTTTTCCTCAATCTGTAAGGTTGCAAATTTGTCCTGTTGACTGTGTCCTTAAAGAAGCTTTCCAGTTTCATGTGGTCCCATTTATCAATTCTTGATCTTAGAGCCTGAGCCATTGGAGTTCTGTTTAGGAAATTTCCCCCTGTGCCAATGAGCTCTTTCCTACTTCCTTTTCTATTAGATTCAGTGTATCTGTTTTTATGTTGAGATCCTTGATCCACTTGGACTTGAGCTTTGTGCAAGGTGATAAATATGAATCTATTTTCATTTTTCTATATAAAGATCACCAGTTAGACCAGTAACATCTATTGAAGATGCTTTCTTTATTCCACTGTATAATTTTGGCTTCTTTGTCAAAAATTAAGTGTTCATAAGTGTGTGGCTTTATTTCTGGGTCTTCAATTCTATGCTATTGATCAACCTGTAGGCCTCTCTACCAATACCATGCAGTTTTTATCACTATTGCTCTATAGTACTGCTTGACATCAGGGATGGCGATTCCCCCAGAAGCTCTTTTATTGTTGAGAATTGTTTTTGTTACACCAAAGAAAACATAAGCATTAATCATCTCACAACAAACCCAAAAGAAGATAATCACAGACACATATACCACCTTCAATAACAAAAATAACAGGAACTAACAATCACTGATCTTTAATATCTCTCAACATCAATGGACTCAATTCCCCAATAAAAAGACATAGGCTAACATACTGGATGCATGAGCAGAATCCAGCATTTTGCTGCATACAAGAAACACACCTTAGTGACAAAGACAGACACTATACTGCATCAGAGTAAAAGGCTGGAAAAAAGTTTTACAAGCAAATGGTCCCAAGAAACAAGCAGGAGTAGCCATTCTAATGTCCAATAAAATAGACTTTTAACCAAAAGTTATCAAAAGAGTTGAGGTAATAATTTTAAGGACAAAGAGCTCTGGCAAGTTGTGGCTTTTTGTGTTGCAGGCTGAGGTGGAGGCACAGCTGGCAAGACAGAGGGAGGAGGAGTCGCAGCAGCAGGCGGTCCTGGCCCAGGAGTGCAGGGACAGGGAGTTGGCCCTGCGCATCGCCCAGAATGAGTCGGAGCTCATCACTGATGAGGCACAGGGTGACATGGGACTCCGAAGGTACTGGGCTCTGGGTTGCACCCTGTCCTGGGCTTTCTTAAGCATCCTGCTTGTTGTTTCTATTTGAAAAGGACTAGGAAAGAGTCTTACATTTTAGGTTTTGACATATTTGATATAAAACCATTTAAAGTTGGATTTACTTTTGTACTCAGATGAATAAAACAAATGATTTTCCATTTAGTTTTTGAACTGTTAAAACATAAACCCCACATTTTCGGTAATGGTTGTTCTGCCAAGAGTAAAACTCAGTTTTATTTCTGAAATTGCTTAATGGCACTGCATAATGGGTAGAAATTTAGTTTCTAATACTTGTTAAACACTGACGTAGAAATTAATGATACATGAGTCTGTATTTTTCTAATACAAGTTTGAAGCAACACACCACATCCTTAAGACAGCGAGATGCAGTTTACCTGCCCATGCCTCAGAAGAAGAGTGATTCCTTTTCAAGAAGGAAGGCCAATCTTACTGAAATGTTTTGTCTCCTCAAATTTTGAATTATGTCTAGATAGTATGGTAGAGTTTGGAAGAGCATGGAAGTTCTTAATATTTTGCATCAAGTTTTAGAAAAGTCAGTATTTGTCATCTAAGAATTTTTAGACTATATAAACAGTTATTTTGATTATTCGTTTCAAAAGGCAAAACAAATTTGTGAGAGGTATATGCTTTCTATATAATGAGAGGTGAGCATAGACATGTAATTTTGGTTTTCAGAAGTGTCTAGAGTATATTAAGTTATAACCACTAGATGGGGCTGTTTGCTTGTAAAAGGCAACGGCAATGCCATTTGAGGTTAGATTTTATTTAGCTGCAAAGATGGTTTATGTTCATTTGTCATCACAAGTTTTTCCAGCATGTGATTGTTTTGAAAAGCTCCCGAGTCTACACTGTATACGAAACTATACGGTACTGCAAATGATCTGGTTAGGACTGGATATGCGAAAGTGCCCGTAACAATTACATAAATGATGTATTGATAAATACATGGCTTCTGGTGTACTAAACATCTCTGAGTTACTTTTTCAGCTTGAGTTCCTGTCCAGAACCTTCTAAGTAAGACCTTTCTTGCAGACATATAGTATGCTTTCAAATACCATCCTAATCCATTACACTTACCATCCTTGATGCAAACTGGTAACTTCAAATTGCATGAAATTATAGGGACATTAAATTTCTGTTAACACCAAATCTCACAGCATACGAATGTCTGAATTTTCTAATCTTAATATATTTTCTCTTTAATTTTTCTTAATTCTCTTAATTTATTATTTTTCAATCCTTCCAATGAATTTATGAACACATGGAAGTCTTAATGATCTTATGTCGATTCCAGATAACTTATATTTTTAAATCAACAAGTAATTAGAACACAAATTCACACTATTGAGATTTTGACAATTCAGAGCTGGTGGTGATATTAACCAAAACATCTTCTTTTCACAGAACTAATGGAACAAGACCCCAAATGACACCGTATGTCATTTCTCTTTGTCTCTTTAAAGATTGATTTTATTTTTGAGAAGTACTTCCTGAATTGGAGTAAATTTTACATTGCTTCATTTTCCCAAAAGATAATGAAATTACTGTTTTCCCACCTTTTTTTTCCTTGCCTTAGGAAAGTGTTTGGTGCTCAGCTATGTCAGCCATGACTTGCTCTCCTTTTCTGTGCTGTTGTTTCAACTTTAATAACAACTTGTTTTATGTATTTTAAGTTCACATCTTCATAACAGGAGTGGGAGAACTGATAAGCATAAGTAAAGTACTTAGTTTCCAGTGTGTGTGATGATTAATTGTACTAATATGTGAAATGGGTCTCCACCTGCAGTTTACATGTAACGCTTCTTTCATTATAAGTCTCCCCACAGAGAGAGGATTTTAGTGTCTCTTGATTACACGATGTTTGCATCTGCATAAAGATTATGTATTAGAAAAGAAAAAATTGCATTAAAATTATGTTATTAACATGTTACACAATTTACATGTAAAAATGTATTTGGGTCTTTGCTTCACTTGGTGTGTCTGGCAAACATCTTATGTGAGTCAGAGGAGAGCTCTCGAGGACAGGTCCTGTTCAGGACACTTGTGGTGTCCAACCCCTCAAGAGGCACAAGGAATGGAAGCTCGCAGCATTATTACCTCAGCACCAACCAGAAACTTGGAAGAGTTGCTGAGAGGGCACCTTTACTGTCCCTTCAGAGTTGTCATTTCAGTTTGTTAAATAAACCCTGCAATTAATGTGTGAGGTAAAATTGCAGGCATTGCAGGTAGCTCAGCAAAACCAGAAGATGAAAGCGCCTAGATGCAGGCACTTGTTAGTGAATGACCTGGTGTAGTGTTGGTGAGGGTCAGGGAGGAGAGTAACTTGGTAGAGGTTACTCCTGGTGCTGAATCATTAGGAGACATCTCTGTATAACCAACAGACCAAATGATCAATAGCCTTGAAAACTTGTTTGAGTCACTGGGAGCCTGCAGTGAGTAAACAGATGGAAGGTGCGTTAGGAGAAAAACGGACGTTAATAACAGACAGGAACTTTGAGGCTGGGTGGCAATGTAAAATTTTTAAATCTATTTTAAAATTTAAAGTAGTTTAATTTAAAATTGTACTATTAGAAAGTTACAAAATTCTGATAAACAGTATTAGGAGAGATCGACAGTATATTGCTAAAAAGACAATTTTACTAGATTATATTTGCCTAGTTTATCTTATGGATTTCACCTTCACTGGTGAGCTTCTACAAGGTTAGTTTCTTCTACTATATTTGCTTGGACAGCTCCCAGAAATAGTGTTGTCAATGTCTAATATGTACAGTGAATTCAATATGTATGTAATATACATATCAATTACATATTTGAATGCAGCCCCCTTCCCCTTAGTCAGAGTTCCAGCTGTTTGCAGGCACTCAGGAAACTGTATCTACAGCCACCATATCCATCTTTTTAACTTGTGATTTGTTTTTTAAAAAGTGATTCAAAGGATTTGTGGTTGCTAGCATTGAATGAATAGAACATATATGAAAATGATTAATTATTACGGGAAAAAGGAGCAAAGGACAGGGATGGATGAAATAAAAAGGTGTCGATTTCTTGAACCCCGTGAAATGGTCATTCGGCTTCACGGAGGCTGAGAAGTGACAGTCTCCCGAGTAATTAAAGAACGGACAGCTTTTTGCTTTTCAGATGTCCTGATACTTGCAAGGTCAGATTACCCCAGGCATGTCATGTAACAAGTGCTTATGTTGAGTTTTCTTCTTTTCTTTTTACAATTATGCTTTGCTTTGGAAATGAGGATCTCTGGAGAGTTATCTGAGCGTATCAGCTTGGTTTACCACCATGGAGCTTCGTCTGACTAATGTGCTAAGCATCTCTGGTGCAAAAATCCTTGTACAGCATCTATATCCTGCCAAGTTTCCTGAGTGCCTTTAAAGCATGCTATTTATATCCTGTGCATAAAAAATACCACCAAAGCATGGCCTTCGTGAAATTTTATCTGAGAGTTTTTACCCAGTGATAAGAGATATGCTCAGATAACTTGAAACTCAAAGACCTCACCATGCTTTATGGATAGAGTTACTGGAAAGCATGTCACTAATGGATCCTTCACAAAGTAAAATGATTTTGAATAGGTATAATATTGATAATATTGAGATTAATTATATTTTCATATTTTTTAAGCAGCTTATGTGATGCGCCTTATATATAATTGTTCTGTATTATCATTTTTTTTTCTTGTAGGGAACAAATGGCCAAAGAAATGTCAGAAATTTTGAGTAGGTTAGTGCAGTGTGTTTGCCAAAATAAGTATTTATTACAGAAATACTACTTTTAAATTCCTTTTGATGATTTGGACTAGAACCTGTTGTATGAATGGCTCACTCTCTTTTCGTGTAACTTTTCTGTATGAGAAATGCCAGCCCAACACAGAAAGAAGCCACGCTCTTCTAATCCCTGTTTCTCACTGAGGACACAGCTGGCATTTTGGATGGGAAGCTCTTCACTGGTGCTGGGTTGTGCTCTTCAGTCTCATCCTGATGGAATGAGTATTTTGAAACTCCCCTGGGGATGGGAGTGATACCTCCAGTTTGGGGGCCACTGTGTCTAGCTGAGGGGGAAGTAGAGTAAGATGAGACCTTACACATGAACACGAGTTTAAAATCCACTGCTACAAATGAATCTCCAGAGAAAACCTTCTGGTAGGGGTTTTAGTTATGAGCCTAGCCTTTAGTGGCTGAGCCATGTCTCCATCCTAAGTCTGTAATTTTTAGAAGTAGCTTTGAATCAATAATATTTTGACAATTTTAAAGTAACAACATTAATAAAAAGTGCTGTTAGTGGGTCTTAAAAACCAAATAGTAATAAAATATTACTATTTTAATGTATTGTTTATATTATTGTCTTTATGATAAGGTTAATCAGTAGATTATTTTATTTTACTTTATTATTTTATTTTACTATTTTAATAATACAGAGATGGGGAGGGAGAATTTGCCTACATTGAGTTCATTTACTACTTCTGACTCCAAATACATTTTTTAGCAGGCTTAGTAATATGATGAAAAGATAGTGTTGTTACATTCACATTTTATCCAAGAATAATTTGAATTCAGTGTTATCTTTAGAACTTATCAAAGCAACACACACTCACATACACATACACACAGACAGACATATACACACCCTATACCACATACACACAGACATACACACACCCCACACCACACACATACACTCTACAGATGTTTTTCATATATTTGACTATCAAACTATATATTATATACATTGGATTTCTTTTTCAAAACAGAGCAGAAAAACTCATAATAATTTTCAGTTACTGTACTAGAAAACATTTTCAAAAGAGTAGGGGGAAGAACGATTTTTTTTCCAGCTACTTTATTGAATGGCAGCTTAGAGATGTAGAAAAAAGTGTTTCCATATGTGTTAAACATAATGTATTGGTAAGGATGATAGATCTTGTAGACACATAGTTGACTGATTTAATCAGGTTTTACTCCACATACTCATTGTACATGTGTGAGTTCCACGCTTTTATTTGCCTTTCCCTCCTGTTAATCCTTTTTCCCCTAGACAGTTAAACTTCTGCTTACATACATACATACATACATACATACATACATACATAAAATATAGGAGTTAAGAATAAGAGAAAATGTGATACTTATCTTTCTGAGACTGACTTAATTTGATTAATATGATTATTTCTAGTTATATGCATTTTTCTTCAAATGCTGACATAACTTTGTTCTACTGATGGACGCCTAAGTTTGCTCTGTAGCTTATAGTTGACTCTTTGAGCTAAGCAGTTAGAAATGAAAAGCTATATGCAAATCCAGTTATGTAACTTGCTATAAATGCAGATTCTGCAGTAAAACCATGTTAACTGTAAAATGCAGAAAGGATTAAGTAGCCACTTATTACTCATCAATTAGTATATTATGGTCACTGTGTCCAAGAGATTTAAGTATATACTGTGAAATATACCATTTTCAACCACAGTACACACATAGGCCTTTAAAAGAGGCAAAGATACCTTATTTACTTCATTTTAGGTTTAATATTGAAAATCTAATTTCTATCACCTCAGGAAAAGGTGATATATTTTCTTTTTTTAAAATGTCTTTCTTTTGTTGAATATATATATATTTTCAATTGACATGTCCTCATTATGGTTTTCCCTTCCTCTACTTCTCCCATAGTAATAAAATAAGATATAATGAAATATAATAAGATAAAGCAAAAACAAACATATCAAATAGAATAAAACAAATAAACAGAAGGAAAAGAACCCAAGAAAAAGCACATGAAGGATGATGTGTTTTCAAAGGTGCTTTTGTCAATAATGTTAGTCATATAAAGTGTCTCTTATCTGGCCATTTACTGGTCTGCTGTTCTTTCAAAATGTAAAATGGTGAGAGACCACATACTTCTTCTCAGGTAGTTTGCCTTCATTGCCCTTTTTCAAAGAAAGGTTTTCCAGGTAGAAAAATGGTAGAAGTGGGGTGGGGGTTTACTTCTTTGATACCCAAGAGATTTTAGACCCCTCAATGTTTATTTACCACAACACCTGTGTTCCTTTTTCTCGTGTTTTGAAATCTGATGCATTTAACCTCGTTCTTTGTCACATTGGGACTAAAATAAATCATGAAACTTGATTCTGAATGTGTCTCATGTCTAGTATATTTTCTCGTTTAAATATGTGAAATTTTTGATTACAGAGGCCCTGCTGTACAAGCTACGAAGGCTGCTGCTGGGACCAAGAAACATGATCTCAGTAAATGGAAATACGCAGAACTACGCGATACAATCAATACTTCTTGTGGTAAGTGCATGGAGAAGATGAGAAGAGGAGGAGGCCATACCAATAGCCATTAAGATAACTACCTAGACTGGGGTGCTATGTGTGTGTGCACATGTGTGTGAGTGTGCATGTGTGTATATGTATGTGGACATAGTACCTAAACCACTGTATTTGTTATTCTTTGTTCCCTTGAAAATCAAGACATGGTTTAGTCACAAAATCAAAAGAAAGACATGTATTCTAGTTTCTTTTCTGTTGCTCTGTTGCTGTGATAAAATCCCCGACAAAGACTGTTAGGGGAAGAAGGGCTTATTGTAGTTCATGATTCAAGGTTACAGCCTATCATAATGGAAGACAAGGAGGCTAAAGCATTGGTCATATCACATCCAAATTAAGAGCAGAAACAAAAAATACATGCACTGTACTTACCTTGCTTTTCCACTATTAAACAAACCCATGGTTGGCTGGGCCATCTCACCCCAGTTAATACAGACCAGTCAACTTCCTACACATATGTCCACAGACAGACTAGCCTGGTCTAGACAGTGCCTCTCTGAGACTCTTTCCAAGTGATTCTAGGTTGCCTGAGGTTGACAATTAGAGCTAACCACCACAGTGCTGTTATTGAATGAAATGTATTGTGCCATTTCTTACCCAGGTCACAGAAAAGGATCAAATACAAATCATAACTCAGGTTGTATTAATGAGTGGCTCTTCTAATGCTAATCATAATGGTTAAATACTCGAATATCTGTATCTTTTCTTCTGTGAATTCAGAGTAATAAATAGCAATGTAACTAAATTTTAAATTATCCCCCCCCCCGCAACAGAACAGTTGTATGAACCGTAACACCCAGAGTCTCACACATAGTTAGGGCCTTGTGTAAAACACAGTGTTCATAATACTGTCTAATAATGGAAGCATGCTAGCTGGACAGAGCTCTCGCTGTACTCTTCCTCACTGAGTCCAGTGTACTAGAAATGTGAAAACGTCATACATTTACCTCTTGCTTGTGTTTGAGCACATTAATTGTCTTATTATTTTTTTTAAAAAAAAAACCTTTCTGATTCAATTTCTTCATCTATAAAGTACCTATTTAGTCTGGAGTTCTTGAGTAACCAACGCTCTAGGGTAGTAATCTGTGAGTGATAAACTGTACATGGGAAAGGCCTTGAAGTGCGTATCTTATCTTTGTATTTTGTCCTACAAACTAAAACCCAACAACAACTTTTGTATACCCTGTTTATGCCATCAACTACTTATGTCAGATGAATAATTTAGAATGTGAATTTTTCTTTCTATGTAATCAATAGACATTGAGCTCCTGGCAGCTTGCAGAGAAGAGTTTCACAGAAGACTGAAAGTGTATCATGCTTGGAAATCCAAGAACAAGAAGAGAAATACTGAAACAGAGCAGCGTGCTCCCAAGTCTGTTACTGATTATGGTAAAAACAAATCTGTACTTTTCACTGTTCTAAATATAGTACCTATAAATGCCTATAGCTATACATAAGGTTTTTTTTTTTTGAGTAAAATAGTCAACTTAAAGTTCTCTTATTGTGATCTAGTGAACATGATACGATCATCATTACCTGTCATATATAGCATTCCCTATGGAATAGATCTTTAAAGTCATATGTCAAGATACATTGAATTTACTTGTTATAACCAAGTCTAAAGGTAAGAATCTTCTTGTCTGTGTTGACAAAGTTGTCCAATACTAAAAACATAGTTACACACACACACACACACACACACACACACACACACACACGTTATATGACGACAGCTGGCCTATATTGGGTCCAATGCTTGCCTGGAAAGTGCTTTTTTCAGCATCTCAAAAAGTCCAAACTCAAACAAAAAAGGTTACATGTAAAAATGTAAAGGTTACAATGATTGGTTCACTCTGTATGCTCACGAGCTTACATGGGAACATTAGTATTTTTAGAAAGCTAAAAAGCATCTTATTTTTATTTTCTAAAATTGTCCTTATTTTGAAATTTAATCTAGCTCAGTTTTTAGAATAACTCCCCAAATAAACAAATATACTTATATTTTTAATATGGAGGTATGTATCCCTTCTGGTGTACTCTGGAATGGAATCATAGCCTAGAAAAAGAAAGGACTTGGTTCTTGTGTCCTCCATCACCATGTCAGTTGTCCTATTTAAAAAGGTTCACTGCAGAGTTTACTTTATAATACTGTTGAGTTTTGCCTAGATGCAGAAACCAGGAAGTGGGACAGGACAGACTCATTGGAGCTGGGCAGACTGTCACCTTGGCTCAGATGATGTGCAGTATGAGCTAGATTTTCAGTCCTTTGTAAAGATTTATTTTTAACTTGCGTATGTGTATTTTGCTTGGATTTATCTCTGCACTACATGTGTGCAGGCCAGAGAAAGGCACTGGATCCCCTGGAACTGGAGTTACAGATGGTTATTAGCTGCTCTGCGTGGGCTGGGCCTTGAACCTGGGTCTGCTGAAAGATCAGCCGGTGCTCATAACTGCTGAGCAATCTCTTCAGATCCAGCTCTTTAAAGTTGAAAGCAGCAACTGGAATTTCATTGGATCCCTTGGTACTTTTATATCATCATAATTTGTCTTAATTCAGATTAGCATCAAGGTGATAGCAGGTGTCATATGTTCTCAACACATGGTCATGTGTTTTACCAATGCATTGAGTTTGAGTTCTTGGATATAGTTTTAAATTCTCACTACTTCCTAAGGAAATAAAAGTCAGTTAAACGGTAGGGCTTCAGTGTTTCTCAGTTGTTGCGATGAGTTGAATGAGAGCAGTAAGGAAGACAATGATGGTGATTGTAGTTGATTTTAGGCAGATTATAATAAGATGAGAGATTGTGGGCATCTATAGCCGAGAGATAGGTTTTGAAAGGTAGAAGCCCCAACCTTTTTTCTGTATACTGAAAACAGTAGTAAGGTTCATTGTTTAGGTATTAAGTGGTGGGTTTTTTCTTTTTTTCCAGAAACCATGTTTTGTATGTAAGCAAACTACAGTGGCATACAAGGAATGCAGGGGGCTCTTCTTTCTTAGCTCCACTCTTAGCAGTAAAGGTTCTATGGTTACCTTTACCATGACAGGCCTGCATTGAGTTGTAAAATATACACATCTAAATAAGTACACCAAGAATAGAGGAAGCTTACACATATTTCATGTTGTTTTCATTCAAACTTTGCTATTTAAAAAAAAAATCTACTTTTGTCCCCAAATGAAGCAAATAACAACTTGCTTCTGTTAAGTACAGTATTATGTCAGGGAAATTTCCTAAGAGTTCTATCCAGGAGTAAAAAATTAGAATTTTTATGCAAATACAATCAATTTGTTAACCTTCAGATAATTTGATTATGAGGCATTTCTTTGAGATAAAAATCTACTTCCAACTGTGAAGTATTTATCCTGCTTTTCTCTGTGTATTCTCTTCACATAAAATTTGGTCTGACACAGAATGTGCTTGAGAGGAGTGGGGAAGGGGATCTTGGAAACTTCCTAGGTCAATGTCTAAAAGTCTGTGCTGTGTAGTTGTTATATTTAGCAGAATTGGGATTCATTTGAAACCATGAAATGAGGACACTCTGTGATTCACAAAAATAAAACCTGATGTCATTGACTACAAGAGTAATAGACTGATAAACTATGGTAAATTTCTGTATCGATGAAGAAGAAGCATCTCCCTTAAGAATAAGAATAGTCGCCGGGCGGTGGTGGCGAACGCCTTTAGTCCCAGCACTTGGGAGGCAGAGGCAGGTGGATTTCGGAGTTCAAGGCCAGCCTGGTCTACAGAGTGAGTTCCAGGACAGCCAGGGCTACACAGAGAAACCGTGTCTCGAAAAACCAAAAAAAAAAAAAAGTCTCCCTTCCTGGGTCTCCGAGCTTGCTCTCACCTTGTTTATCACACTAAGAGGTCTCCATAAATGATCTTGGCCAGTTGTAAATTACACAGTGAATATTTATAATTGTTTCAGATTATGATTTTGGGAATCACTTAATTTAAGTTCTTAAAAAATGGCACAAGTTTAAGATTTAAGAAATTTGAAGAGATTAGAATGAATTGACGGTGTAAAGACAGTACTATTTATTATCATTAGTTAAGTTTGTATGTCCCAAAATTATAAACGAAGTACAATTTTTAAATTTTGGTACTCTTTACCTGCGCCTCAAACAGATTTTCCTAAAATGTAATTAATCAAAGTAGCTTACCCCTCTTTCTTCATTTCTTTCTTTATTCTATGTTTTCTAAAAAATCATTTTTTAAATCAGAGCACCATTCTTTGAGCTCTTTGGTGTAGATAGTGCTTGCATGTTGGTCACCACCTCAATTGATGGGATGTGTTTATTAATTAGGAACGTGCTCATTTAACAGCTTTGGCATATTTATATTTTCTTCAACATACAATATTTGTTCACAGATTTTGCACCATTTTTGAACAATTCACGTAAGTCAATGGGTGGTAACTCATGCGCTAACGGGAAGATGGGTTAGAGTACTTTCTGCAATACTAACTTTCTACCAAACATTGTTTTGCTACGTTGTAAGTGGAGTTGTAGAATATTAGACGCCTGTCTATATTAAAATATATTCTTACTTGAGAAATGATACATTTTCTCAGATCAATTAAAAAATGTATGCAGAACAGAGATTGACCACACGATGGTGTCATCTGTCAGATTTCACTCATTTAAAACTGACTGTGCACACTTCTTACTGTAGCAAAATGCTGTCTTCATTTTCCAGCTGACCTAGAAGAAAGATTAACTCTTAGGTGATGATTGCAGAGGCTCCATTGAGATGGTACCTGTGTTTCTGTCAATGGAGATTTGAGTTCAGTGTAGTATGTATTGCACACATTTAATAATGACCCCTGCTGGCGGGAAGAGAGAGATAACGTCCAGTAATGAACATTCCTTCCATACCTTGGAAACTTTAGGACACCTTTCCTTAGTAAGTTCCTAGAATGAGTACAGTGGTTTGGCAGCTGGGGTTTTGTTGAAAAGAGCTAAGAACTCCAGTTAGTTTTGCCAACTTGCTGGGCCTGATTTTTCCAAGTGCTTCTTATTATTTGTATTTCGTTCTGTAGTCTGAGGCATCGCTTCATGGTGTAGCTATCCCAAACTGGCCTCCAAGTCTCAGTGCTCTGGCCTCAGCCTTCCAAGTGCTAAGGTTTGTTTCTGGATCCCTGACTTTTAAATGGGACACGATTGGACAAAAGCAGATTGTTAAGAAGAATATTTTAATGTCTGCTTTTTAAAAAAACCTAACTGAAGTTCTTAGCTCTTTTCAAGAAAATCCCAGTTCTTTTATTACTAGAAAAGGCTATCAAAAAGTTTGGTTTCTTAATTTTACTCAATATGTTAACTTCAGGAGGCAGATTTTTTACAAAATAAGTTACTGAATAGAAAATGTCAGTGCCGTAGTAGTAAATTTCCAATCATTTAGTCACCACCCAGGAGGGTTGTTGTTTTTAAATTCTTCATCCGTGCATCCATCCATCCATTTATTGAGAAGCAGAGTCTTACTCCTGGCTGGCTTGGAATTCGATTTGTAAACTATCTGTTTTTAACCTTCAGTTGTGATCACTGAGGTGCCAAGTACAGAGGAAGGAACAGAAACAAGAGAACAAACCTATCTCCATTTCAATGCTAAAGGCCATGCGGCTCCTAACCTCACTAACAAAACTGGCCCTTCATACTTTCATAGGCATGGGTGGTTTCCTTCAGTGCTTGTTGCTTTCTCTGATTTGCAAATAAATAAATCTAACCTTCCACAAGCTGTTGATGTTTCTTAAGGTGTAAACTAGAGCTGGAGTATTTTCATCCTTTTGGCATTTCTGAAAGTTCCTAGGAAAGCCACGTGCTGTGCGTGGTGATATGTATCGGATACGCTTTCATCCATGTGCTTTGATTTTCATATCAAGGTTCTTGGAACTGCAGTAAATTGTTCTACTTTCAAAGCTAGGAATATAAAGCGCACAAACAGCCTCACCTGCTCAGGGTATAAAGTCATTACTCTAGGGATGTGCTTACAAATTTGCACATAAAATAAAAGCCTAGTCATTTAGTACTGAATAGGGCAAGGTTTAGGACTAGCAGAAAAGGAAGAATTATTTCTTTCCATTGATAAAGAAGCTCATATATTATATTCTTTACCACCTATTTCAGTGGGTTTTCTGTCAAGAGAAATCTCATTTTGCAGTATATAATATTTTTGAAGAAAGGGTCATACTTACTGTTATATATAGTGTTTTGGGGGCAACTTTCTCTGTGCTGTTTTGGCCTTTTTAAAAAACCCCAAAGTTGGTAAAAGAAGAAAGTTTTGAATGGACTTCTCTTTGGTGGAAAATATAATTAAATGAACATATCTTTCTAATTTGAAAATTACTATTCATTTAGTTTTAAGTAGTCATATGTAAGTTATTCTTCACCTTTTACCTGAAATCCTTGTAGGAAAAATAATACTAGACTACTTTTCTAGTATGTAAATTAATTTGGGGTTACTGAGAAGTCATTTTTGGGAATCTGGTAAAGGCTTTTTTGCCAGTGGTGGTGTTGGTGGTTGTGGTGTTGGTGTTGGTGGTGGTGGTGGTGGTGGTGGTGGCGGTGGGGGCACCCATGTGTGAACCATATTTTTGTATATATGCGAAGCTTTAGCATGTGTACTGTGCCTATATACAATGCTTGCGTATACAGTGTGTGCACAATGGTTGAATGTGTTTATGTGTGCTATGCATATTTAAATGTGTGTACCATGTGCGTGCACAATGCTTGAGTGTGTTTATATGTGCCCATTCATGTGCACAGTGCTTGAGCATGTGTGTACTCTACATGTGTGCAATACTTGAGAGTGTGTGTGTGTGACCGTGTGTGTGCACAATACTTGATAGAGTGTGTATTGTGCATGTGCCCATACCTGTCTATATATGATTATATACCATGTGTGTACATGAGCACAATAAGCATGTGTGTGTGTGTGTGTATGTGTGTGTGTGCACTGTGCATGAGCACAGTGCTCGAATGTATATATGCATGCACATGCACAGAGCCAAGCAACATCTTTTGTCAAAGACAGTTCTAAGAAATCCCACTACGAATTGGATTCATTAACAGGCAACTATTACTAACGTTTTAAATTTACTAGTAGGAGCCTCTGTTCTCCCCCTCCCCTCTTTAAAATTCTTGGTGTATTTTAGGAATGATGTCTGTTTTCTTTTCCCGTGGGTGGCTGGTGTAACGTTGCCTGTTCTGTATAATAGCTCAGCAGAACCCCGCAGCTCAGCTCCCTGCCAGGCAGCAGGAGATTGAGATGAACCGACAGCAGCGTTTCTTCCGCATCCCCTTCATCCGCCCTGCTGACCAGTACAAAGACCCTCAGAACAAGAAAAAGGGCTGGTGGTATGCCCATTTTGACGGACCATGGATTGCTCGGCAGATGGAGCTGCACCCTGACAAGCCACCCATCCTTCTTGTAGCCGGTGTGTATAATTCACAGGGGAAAAAAAATCAAACAAAAAAAGGATGGTAAATCCTTGGATGAAACAGTCTAATATATAAGTTTACCACTTCCCAGCTCCTGATAGAAATACCTTATGCAAAGTGAATAGATTTTAATGTAATAAGCCAGTCACTGCATTTCAGGATTAAATGACTGAGCTTTGCACTTCTGTCTCATCTCCAGTTAAGGGAAGATTAACTGATTTACAAAGTAAAATTGTTTTTACGTCTGTTTAGAGAAGAGAAAAATCTGTTCTAAGAAACTTGTCTTTAGTGCTAAGTTCTAAGTTTTGTATTAGCTTTGAGGGCACACAGAGTTCATATTAACCCTGATCGTTTTTCTGATCAGTGGTGGGGTTTATAAATTTTAAGAGTCCTTAGAGGGGGCAAGCTTAAGTGATTTCTGGAGAACTTAAACAGATTTCCATCTTGCTGAAATAGTTGTAAGTTCTCAAATCCATGAGAATTTTTGGGCGTTCAGGAATAACACTCATAAAAATGCTGGGCAAAGATATGGTAATTTTGTGGTGTCTCCCGACTGCAGGCAAGGACGACATGGAGATGTGTGAGCTGAATCTTGAGGAGACCGGTCTGACTCGCAAGCGTGGTGCTGAGATCTTGCCCAGACAGTTTGAAGAGATCTGGGAGCGTTGTGGAGGCATTCAGTATCTTCAGAGCGCCATCGAGAGCAGGCAGGCCCGGCCTACCTATGCTACAGCCATGCTTCAGAACCTGCTCAAGTAGACCACAGGGTTCCAACCTAGCCCTGACCTCACAGGCGGGGAGGGGCCCTCAGAGGAGGGGAGGGGACAGAAGGCTCATCACTTCCTTGCTCCTGGTAGAAATGTCTTATGCAAAGTGAACAGATTTTAATAATCATGGATTTTGTTAATTTGTTCAAGGTTAATTAAGGTTGAGGTAGTGGATTCAGGACCTAAAGAGAGAAAAACCCTGATTCCAGCAGTGCCCCTCCCCCCCTGCACTGTTGTGATGTTTTCTGGTCCTAGACAGATGGCTGATACTTCTCACTCTGCACACTGACCACCTTATTGCTGTGTATTGTCATGGACAAGACTTTTTTTTTAATTCAAAACATTTGACTTTTTAAAGAAAAGGATGTCACAGTGCCTTTATAACTGAGATAATGAAATCTTAGCTCAATTTTGTCCGAGAATTAAGGTACTTGAATTGATTAAGGCACAGATGTGTTTGGTCTAAAAAGCTGTATTTTATCTGCTTCTTCACAAGTCCATGCAAATCGACTTTCCCTCCTTGCAGTGTGCTTAGCGCCCATGATCCCCAAGTTCTAGAATTCTGGAAAAAGCCTTAACGTATGGACTGTTATATGTGCAGGGGAGGTGCTGGGTGTATTCGGCACAGACATGGAGTGCTTGTCTACCAAGCTCTGTGTTACTCTTGGAATCTCCTCTTCCTAATCCATGGCCAGTAAAGGAAATTGTTTCTTTGAACGACTGGAGGTTTTGATATAGCTTTGTTTCATTGTGGAAGGGATGCAGGGTTGAGGAGGTTTTTTGTGACTCTACTGGACTGAATTCCAATATTTTTTTTCCACCTCATCTCAACTGCAGTCTCTCAGTTTGAACTTTGTCCAAGTTATCTCTTGTCACTTAAGCTGGTGATCTGCTTCGGACAGCTCGCTTGCCCCTTCCCCTCTTCCGGGTATCCATTTTGGCCTTTGAGACATGGTAGAGCTGCTTTGTAAACTTCGTAATCCCGAAGCCCTTGTACTTAGACATAGTTTGTTTCATGCTGCAGGAAGCCTTTAAAACACGCCCTTTGTATACTGTTTAGTCCTTATCAGATGTCAGCAGTTGGGACTAATATTTACAACTTTAATATTAGGAATTTAGAGACAAAAAATACATCAAGGAGTTATGTTGACACCCAAAGGAGTCTTTGTATTTTAGAATAAAAGTAGAAAGTAAAACTATTCTTCACACTCCACTTTGTTTTTAAATACCCTGACCTTTGAAATTTCAAGATTTCTTTTTTTCCCTTAGATTCATGTTCAGAACCCTCGGGTACTATTGTCAGAATCGCTCCTTTCAAAATGACTTAGTACTGAAGTACTTATTTATTATTATGACATCGTGGAAATGATTGTTTTGTGTTAAGGAAGTTAAGTGACCCTGTCTCTACTAATAACTGAAAATGTGAATGAGGTTTTTTTCTAGAGGCTGTCTTACTGCTTAGACTTGCCCTCTGTTGGTCCTGTGATTGATGGTAGAGGTATAGTTACTGAAATAAATAACCTGTTCTTTCTCTTTCATCCCTCACTTTTGATTGGTGTCTTTATTTGTGCAGGATACTGAGTAAGCTTTATTTCCTAGGCAAAATGAATATAGTCCTTGGGAAAAAAATTATCTAGGCCTAGTGGATTCTTAGTGACTTGTCATCTTAGCACTGTTTACGGAAGCACTTTTATATATCCTCTGGATCTATGAATAAGCACCAGATGAAAAATTAATCAAAATGTGGGAATTATGATAATGACAGATCTTAATATTTTAAAGAATTTATAGAAAATATACGACAGCAAAGCATTGTTGAAAGTGTGGTTTTTGACTGATAACTCTCAGTCATCTTCGACCATTTCCTTCCTAATTACGTCACTGTGCTGGCCTACAATGTATCCGTTTCAGATATCTCCTGAGTTAATTTTGCCAAGCAGGAGACTGCCCTAATTCAGGCAGGCTTTGAGCCTTCCACATGTCATAGCATCCAGATCCTCCCAGGGAGACTTTAGAACATCATTTTTTGGGGCACAGCAGAAATGATGTTCCAGGAGACCTTGATCCAGCTTCTCTACCCTGTTTCATGGATTCAGATCCACAAAGGCTATTCAAGAATTTGAGGCATCCCCATCAGTTAACTCTTATTTTAGTCAGCCATTTAAAAATTTAAGTTTAAACCAATATACTATACATGAAGAACTAATTTCTGTAATGTTTTTCAGCTCCAGTTTCTTCCACCACACTTGGTGTACATTTTAATAGAACATAACAACAACAACAACAAACAACATGATGGCAAGTGTTTCCATGTTAAATTCAGTAGTGACACTGCACAATGTCAGCACCACAGTTAGACATGTGTTAGTATGGAGATATGCTCTTAGCCAGTGCAGGAAGTTTCTAGAGGCCTGGTGTGTTCAAAAGATTCAGCCCCTTGACTGTCACGGAGACCACCTATGCACAGGTGTATGAGAAGAAGCAAAATAAGTGAGCGCTACCGTGTTCTAAAGGTAACTAGGGAGTCAGGCTCTCACCCTGGCATGTAAAAAGACTTAACAGACCAGTGAGCCCTTTGGTTTCACAAGCAACTAGGAAAACTGTTTAAGGCAAAACTAGGAATTTCTTATGAGATTTAGATAATAGAAACCACAGGAATAATAATAATATTTATTACATGTCATCTTTATTAATTGTTTGGTTTTTTTTTTCCAATGCGGGGATTGAACCCAGGGCTTCATACAGGTGAGGCTCTATAGGGAGGCACCTCTCTGACCTTTACTTGGATATTTTTGGAAGAGAGTTTCACTCACAGGTTACTAATATGGTTCTCAGGGGAATTCACATATGTAGACCTTTGGGTTTTTTTTTTTAATAGTTTTACAATACTTGGTTTAGCAGAATAGTTATTGAACTAATCAGTCAGTTAATACTAAGTTAATAATTTTACCTTATATAAAAAACTTGTAGTAAGCCAGGAAGGTCATTCAGTTTGTTACTAGACCATGAAAGAGATGTAAAGGCCTTTGCTCCAGTCATGGAGTGAAAACAATGTTTGTCTGCTCAGCAACTGAACCCTGGAGACTTACAAAGGGCTGTTCCTGTACTTTACTGTTTGTCCTCAACACCAGTAAATAAATATTGAGTTTTAATTGCTTCCAGAAGATACATTAACAGTGGAGGGCAGGGGAGGGCAGAGGACATTTAACAATGAGGGTAAGGATGAAGTGTGGGAACAGTGATAACCATAAGGGCAGACGAGAGCATTAGTGCAAGACGAGGGAAATCTTGCATCCCCTGAAGACTGCATCTCAGTGGGGAAACACTCAGACGCCCTAGACAACTGATATTCTTGGGTCCTGGCTGAGTTTTAGGATGTATTTGCTACAGCTAGGAGCAGAAGCTAAGGTTAGTAAACTTGGATAGTGTGTCACCTGGCATGTAGATCTTAGCGTTGGAGAATGGTCCAGCTGAACTGGAGGCACCCAGGAAAGAACTTGGCATCCTTTATACGAGCTGTGTGCAAGGGCCAGTGGAGAGCCTGCCTGTGTCAGTGCCTCATCTTTTGACAATTTGGTCCAATTCAACTCTTCTTTCCCCAACACTAACTTACGTGTGAAGTAACTTTGAATCTTGGAAGTTTTCCAAGGGAGAGTTAGGAAAAATTAATGGACATTGAAAACTGCACAATCTTTAATCTTAATTTTCGTCAATATAGAAGCTGAACGTCAAACTACAAACAGGTGTATTGAGCAGCCACTTTTTTTTCACTTCTGGAAGTCTGTCTATTTGTAACTCCTAATTTTTATTCATTTCATGAAAAGTGTGTGTCTAATACTTTCCTAAAATACTGATGTACTGGAAATTCAAATAAACTGCCTTATATGTAGAACATCCTTGTGTATTGTGTGCTTTTAATACAGGGTGCAAAATGTCACACTGTTGGTAGATTTCAGGTGGGGCGTGTTGGGAATAAACTGTGTGCTAGGTGGCTCCTTGGAGAGGCGGGCACTACAGGGGACTGAAAACTCCTGAATCCTGGTCAAACATTTGTATGTAATCTCCATGCAGGGAATAAGCAGGGCTGTTCATGAGCCACTAAACTCATTTAGACTGGAGGCAAACTGATCTTGGATGTCTCAGCCCAGACTCTTGACTAATCTGTAAGAAGAGTTCATAAAAACTGGTGACCCAAAGAAGACTCTTGCCTAAGGTTTGAACTCCAGTCTGGATAGCTTGCCCAATGAAGAGTTTTGAATCTTCCACATTCCTGGTGGGTCTCTGAGAGCGGAAAGAAACTAGTACCTTTCTGGACTACTTTTCTTTGTATGACAAAACATGGATGATCCAAAGAGATAAAAGCATTTAACCTAAATTGGGACCCCCTCCTCATACTTTATACAGAATGTTTTACCTACTTAGCTTCTCTATAGAAACCTGTCCTGCACTGCTTAGCATTACACTAAAATGTGGATGAGCGACACAGGATGGGAAGGAAGGGGTGACAGTTCTTTCTCCTTATGTAAGCATTTCACTTGCTTGTGATTGGCCTGTCATGCTTTTAGCAATTCTGCCTCCATATGGGATGTTCCAGGGATTCGGGATTGGGTTGGTCAGTCTATCCTTGTTACTATTCTTCACCCTGTGACTTTATCACCATATATCAATGTGACATCCTTATTCCATATATAGAGCTTCCTTGGTGGGGAGCCTTGAGGAGGAGTGGGGACTCAAGCTCCTCATTTGAGAGACCAACAAGAAGGAATTTAATGTCTTGTATCTCTTCTCCATGTGAGAATACCGCTTTTCAAAATATCATCTTTGTTATGAAGAAATATTTTGATTTTGGTTTTATAGCTTTCTTGTTAAATGTTGTCACCAATATTTACTATTTCACTGTCATAGCAGTATTACAATAACCTATTTCATTTGCTTATCAAGTCCATAGAATGACTAGTAAAATATAGATACACTTCATTATAAATCTATGAATATAGTACTTACATTTTTTTAACTTATGATATATTTTGCCCCAAATATATTTGACAATTGGAAAGAGATGTGGAGACAGGAATTTCCCATCAAGTAGCATATTAAATGCCGAACTATATTTTATTGGTACCAATATAGATACGTACAGGACGGTGTGAAGACATTGCTCATCTTGTGGAAAATGGGCACATCACGTCAGGTTGTATGACCTCACCTCTTCAGTTTCTCACCCACAGATTGTTTTCCTTCAAAGTCTTCCTTTAGGGTGGCAACAAGAAGAGTAAGATTTTCCTGTGATGTGTGTATCTGAGCCTCGGTGTCTCTTTTTTGTTTGAAGACCAACTCAGAAATCATGGGCAACAAAATCATCTGCTGTATAAGCAAGAACTGCTTATATAAAACCAGAATACCTAAAAACTGGAGAGAGTTGGGGATGAGGGGGGAGAGGGAACACACACACACATGGGGGTGGGGTGGAGAGAGACAGAGACAGAGAGAGTGGGGAGCATACATACCCCTATCACAGAGCTTGATACTACAACTAGAGACCTGACTCTCACGAAAGTGATCATCTTTAAAACTAAAATATTTTTAAAATTTAGATTTTGAAATTTTGTGTGTATGAGTGTTTTGCCTACCTAAGTGCATGTGTACTACATGGCTGCCTGGTACTGGAAGTAATCAATTAGAAGAGGGTGTTGGATCCCCTTGAACTGGAATTATGAATAGTTGTGAACTGCCTTATGGGTGCTGGGAACTGAACTTCCTTCTTCTGGAAGAGCAACAAGTGTTCTGAACCACTGAGTCATCTCTCCAGCCTGCTTCACCACTGCCAATTAAAAAATTAATTAGTTAAAAAAAATAGTGTGTCTGTTTGTGGTTATGTGCACGTGGATACAAAGGCCAGAGGAGGGTGTTTGTGTTTTCTGGAGCTGGAGTTACAAGTGTATGTAAGCCACTCAATGTGGGTGTTGGGATCTAAACCCAGGTCTTCTGGAAGAGTAGTATATACCGTTAACCACTTAGCTACCTCTCTAGACCAAACGATAATCTTTTAACTGTATATTCTAATATATAAAAGAACCAGATCCCCAATACTGTATAACCCACAAAACAAGTTGTACTTGTTTGAAATAAACTTTATGTAATAATTCAAAGACAGATAACACTCTCAAACTCCGCTGCCGGCTTACACTGGTTCTTTCCGCTCTTCCGTCACCCTGTCCTTCACCGATCACAATGGAAGAAGAAATTGCCGCACTCATCATTGGCAATGGCTTTGGCATGTACAAAGCTGGCTTTGCTGGTGACTATGCACCCAGGGCCAAGTTCCCTTCCATCGTTGGGCGCCCCTGTCACCAGGGCATCATGGTGGGCATGGGCCAGAAAGACTCCTATGTAGGTGACGAGGCCCAGAGCAAGAGGGGTATCCTGATCCTGAAATATTCTATCGAGCACAGCATTGTCACCAACTGGGACGACATGGAGAAGATCTGGCACCACACCTACAATGAGCTGCGTGTGGCCCCTTAGGAGCACCCAGTGCTTCTGACTGAGGCCTCCCTGAACCCCAAAGCTAACAGAGAGAAGATGACGCAGATAATGTTTGAAACCTTCAATATCCCAGCTATATATGTGGCCATTCAGGCGGTGCTGTCCTTGTATGCATCTGGGTGCACCACTGGCATTGTCATGGACTCTGGTGACAGGGTCATACACACAGTGCCCATCTATGAGGGCTACGCCCTTCCCCACACCATCTTGCATCTGGACCTGCCTGGTCAGGACCTGACAGATTACTTCATGAAGATCCTGACTGAATGGGGATACAGCTGTACCACCACTGCTGAGAGGGAAATTGTTCATGACATAAAGGAGAAGCTGTGCTATGTTGCCCTGGATTTTGAGCAAGAAATGGCTACTGCTGCATGGAGCTGCCTGATTGGCAGGTGATCACCATCGGCAATGAGCAGTTTTGGTGTCCCGAGGCTCTCTTCCAGCCGTCCTTTCTGGGCATGGAGTCCTGTGGCATCCATGAGACCACCTTCAATTCCATCATGAAGTGTGACATGGACATCTTCAAAGACCTGTATGCCAATACAGTGCTGTCTGTTGGTACCACCATGTATCCAAGCATTGCTGACAGGATGCAGCAGGAGATCACAGCCCTAGCACCCAGCACAATGAAGATTAAGCATTGCTCCCCCTGAGCACAAGTACTCAGTCTGGATTGGTGGCTCCATCCTAGCCTTACTGCTCACTTTCCAGCAGATTATGGATCAGCAAGCAGGAGTATGACGAGTCGGGCCCCTCCTTCATCCACTGCAAATGCTTCTACATGGACTGAGCAGGTGCCAGGCATCTGTTGAATGAGCTGATTCTGAAGTATCAATTTGCCCTGGTAAATGTACACACCTCATGCTAGCCTCATGAAACTGGAATAAGCCTTTGAAAAGAAATTCGTCCTTGAAGCTTGTATCTGATATCAGGACTGGATTGTAGAACTTGTTGCTGATTTTTGGCCTTGTATTCAAGTTAACTGTTCCCTTGGTATATGTTTAATACCCTGTGCATATCTTGATTTAGTCCTTAGTTTATGTGGCTCGGTCACTTGGTGGCTGGGGAGAGCACGCTGTGGAGAGAAATCCCCAGCCTAGTGGAGGTTGTGATCTTTGCAGGGTATTAACCGACAGCAGATTTCCAGGATTTCCTGAGGTTGGCGAGGGCTCCTGAACCAGTTACCACTCCTTCTTGCCAGTCTAACAGGGTGAGAAAGTCTGAGCCTAAGGACTCAGTTTCCATTCTGTTTTTTTCCCTCCTGACCAACAGGGATTACTACTTCCCTTGAGTTAGGAATGTTTGTATCAACACCTGTAAATGTATTCATCCTTTTAATTTATATAGGGTTTTTTTTGTACTCAATTCTTTAAGAAATAACAAATTTTGGTTTTTTACTGTTCAGTGAGAACATTAGGCCCCAGCAACATGTCATTGTGTAAAGAAAAATAAAAGTGGTGCAGTAACTGAAAAAAAAAAAAGACAGATAACCTTTTTTTTTCCTATTTGCGTATTGTCCAAAAATAGTCAAATATGTTCCAATGATTGATTTGAGTTTTTACTATAAAAATGTGTCCTCCCAGGCTTAGCTGTCATCAGATACATGAATGTTTTCTAGTGCAAGGATGTTGATTCTCAGAGTTAACTACATGCTTGTATTCCAATGACCATTGAATATCTCCTTCCATTTTTCAGAAGTTAACAGAACAGACACACCTTTCTTTAAGAAATAAAGTTGCCTTTCAACAGAGTTTAAAACATAATGTGTATGATTCCAGTTTTTAATTTCCCTCCCAATCCCGGTCGTCAAATTCTTCAAATCCTATAGTTGATGGTTCAGAATTTCTTTTCTTGACTTCCTGGAAGACAAAGAGTTTTATTGTAAGAGTCAAAGTCAAATCAACAAGTTCTTCTGGTCCAACTTCCCTTGGGAGATGAGAGAGTGGGCTTCTCATTTAGGGTTTCTCTGAAACCTTTGAAAGAAGGTTTCAGAATGGCTTCCACTTATTCTTAACTTAATAATCCTCTGGGACTGCATCCTTTCCTTTCTTAAACCTAATATGTTTCCAGGCTAATCATCTTTTAGAGCAAATAGTCTGTGCCTGAATTCCACCGTGTTTCTTCCCAGTTATAGTGGACACCACTAATCCATTACAGCATTCCTCAAGGAACACACACGTCCTTCAGCCACCACAATGCCTGTGACCTTGGCCTATCAGCACTGACATTTGTTGCTACTTGTAGTCTCAGTCTCTTAGTCTCTCTGTCTCTGTCTGTCTCTGTGTCTCTCTCTGTCTCTGTCTCTGTCTCTCTCTCTCTTACACACACACACACACACACACACACACACACACACACACACACCATGAAAAAGCAAGCCTCTCTCTGGTGTTTCAAGATTTAATTGCTGCTCGATTCATCCTGGATTAAACAAGTTGTCTCTCAGAGTTAGCTCTACGCTCTAGATATTGACAGTTGAATGCAGTTTTCCTTAGGAAAGCAAATTGCCTTTGAAAATAGCATCAAATTTTATCAATATCAGATCCTATATCCTGTCATCACAATGTGGCCCATATCTAAACTCATTCTGTTTCTTCACTTTTCCTGGCTTCAAAAATTCAGATGGTACATCTCATTCTCAGTGTGCAACTGAGTAAAGATTATTCCTCCCAGTCTTATTGTCACAGTGTCCTGATGGAACGTCAGCTGGTAACCACCCTGGGTTCAGGCCTGAGGAATTTATTTTATTGATTGTCTTTAGCATGAACAGTTGTTGCTTCTACCAATTGCTACTATCCAAGACTTCTTATAATTAAAAAGTAGGTAATTTGGGAATAAAAATGTCCAATCTTTTTCCTCAAAGTTATTTTTACAAAAACTAAAGTTCTTTAGATTATATATACCCTTACTATAGATCTCTTAATAATTTGTTAAAATGACGTGTTTTATTAAAGACTTTAAGACTTTCTGAAGTTGCTCATGTTTCACAAATAATGCTGCTCCTACATATTTGTTTTTATTTTGGATGATTGTTATTGGAAATAAAAAGAAAATTAAGCCTGGTGTGGTGACTGGTACCCACCAGCACAGTACTCTGGAGGCCAAGGCAAGAGGATGTAAACTTCATGGCCAGCCTGGGCTCTATAGCCTATTTCCAAAAAGAAAGAAAAAGAATCTAAGCATAGCTTATATGAACAGTATCACGAATACTATTACTTTGAAAATTTCAGTTTTGTAAAATCACATTTGATTACTCACAAAAATTTTTTTCAAGAAAATATTGGGAATATTATGAAACAGTCTTTGTCTGTGATTTCATTATTTTACACATTTCAATTGCTGGATATTCAGTCTCCGTCTCTGCATCAGGGAATACTGCTTCCCACTCATACTCAGTTCTAAAAGTCTACCAAATAAATAGCAGGTGCTTTATATATCCCCAGTAAACAATTTTTAAAAAGGGGTAGGTATCGAACTGGTTCTATTTTTCTTTTCAAACTTCAACCTACTTAAACTAACAAAGAAAGTTCAACTTTACCTTATTTTGCTGACGTTGTAGCTTTTTAACACCAGGTTCCTGAGCTTGGTTTGTAGAGTGATCTGATGGCCTGCAAGAAAAAAAACCCCAGAGGTATATCTTCTCTTCCACAGTAAGAGTAGCTAGGCTGCTGCTATCTTGGATTTGAAATTACGACAAGTGAAAGCACTCAGCACAGCCCTGCAGGTGCAGCCAGTGCAGTTTCTACTCTCAGATGGCTTACTTCTTTCTTGGGCACTGGTCTCAGAGGGTAGATAGAAATGTGCAGGAAAGATGGAGGATGAGCTCATCATGCCAGGGGGCAGTGATTGTTCAAGCCAAGTGCTGAGTTGTGACTGTTCTAAAAATGCTATCAGAGCATTCTGTTCACAATGCTATTCAAGTAAGGATTAGTCTTAACTGCTGTTTACAATTCCAGACTTATTATATTATATACTTTCTCTTCATAATATACATGTCTTCACTTTATATTTTTCATCATAAAATGGGCATAATACCTGGAGGATTTTGTTCTATACAGGTTCCCTTATGTTACGATTAAAATTTAAAAACAGTGGCACCTAATCTGGCTTGTTGTTACGATGCCACCATGTTTGTAACTAGGCAAGGCCTGAGGCCATGAGTGGCAGACGTGTTCTTGCCACTCAGGGCAGCGAGAATCACTGGCTCTGGCACCCATGAGATGCCAGCGTGGGAGATGGCTCTGCCAACCTACCACACTGTCTCCACAATGCTTGGCTGAACCCCAGTCAATACCCGCCATCCACGTTGTATCCCGTAGAAATGAGACTCTGATAATTATCATCCAAAGGCTTTATATATTTGGTAATGCTCAATTAACAATTTGCCCAGACAATTAGAGTTGATTCCCAATATCTAACCTTAAGATATAAATCGTTACCCAGGACCATCCTGGACCCACGCATGGTCCTCCTGGCTCCTACATCTCTCCTCCTCCTCCAGCTCCTTCTCTTCCTTCTCCTCTTCCTCTCCTTACTCCTCCCACATTAGCTCCTCCCAAATTACCAAGTTTATTGTAAAATGTAGTTTATTGTAAAATATACTGCTACACCCTTACAAGTAAATGTTTATTTCTTTCCATCTTTATAATGTGTCTATGTATTTCTTTATCTTAAGTTCTGTGGCAGTCAATAGCTTTGTACAGCAGATTTTAGTAACTATACCCATTGCCCCTCTCCTCTCTGAACATCTCTGACCCCTTCCATCTTTGCACAACAGTTTATTTCCTCACCCTTGGTGAGAAACAGTCACTTTTTGAGAGTTTCTCTTTAGCTGTATTCCCAGTGTATCTGGGTATAGAAAATAGAGAGGCTGATCTGACCTAAATTTGTTTTGGGTACACATGGGTAAGATGGAATTGTGTCCTCTGGTACATTCTTAGGGACAATCATTACAATCATTACCATCTTATGTCTATGCACAATTCAATATGTGTATAGTTAAAATCAAATGCATTAGGGGATGGGACAAACATGATTGGAAAAGTAAATTATATAACCATGCCGTGCCCCTTAGTAGCCATAAAAAAGGCTCTAGGCTGCTATTGTGGATGCTAGGAAATGCTTGCTGACAGGAGCCTGATATAGCTGTCTCTTGAGAGGCTCTGCCAGAGTCTGACAAATACAGAGGGGATGCTTGCAGCCAATATTGGACTGAGTGAGGGGTCCCCGATGGAGGAGTTGCAGAAGGGACTGAAGGAGCTGAGGAGGTCTGCAGCCCCATGGGAGAAGCAACAGTGTCAATAGGCCAGACCTCCTGAGCTCCCTGGAACTGGACCACCAACCAAAGAGTACACATGGAGGGACACATGGCTCTGGCTGCATATGTAGCAGAGGATGGCCTTGTTGGACGTCAGCGGGAGAAGCAGCCCTTGGGCCTGCGGGTGTTCGATGCCCCAGTGTAGGGAAATGCCAGGGTGAGAAGATGGGAGTGGGTGGGTAGGGGAGCACCCTCATAGAGGCGGGGGGGGGGGGATGGGATAGGGTGTTTCTGAAGGGGAGACCTGGAAAGGAGAAAACAATTGAAATGTAAATAAAGAAAATATACAATTAAGAAAAAGGAGGAGGGGGAGAAGCTCCAGGCTCCAGCCAGTGAGCCTTGAGTACGCTCAGTCATGTGATCCACTGTCTTTAATAGTATATCCTTCTGTAATCCACTCTGTCCAGTTACCTAGCTGCTTCTTTAATTCCATGTGAGACCTCATTTTCAGCTCTTTTGGTAAGAGGCCAAGAACCCAGAATCACCTGGCCCAGAGCAGTTAATAGGTATAACTAGGGGGGATGGAATAGAGGGTTTCCAGAGGGGAAACTGGGAAAGGGGATAACATTTTAAATGTAAATAAAGAAAATATCCAATAAAAGAAAAGAAAAATATTTAAAAGTAGAGTATTCAAACCACATTTATGTTCTAGAGATGCTGAAAAGATTTTCTTGAAAGAGGACGATTCTGATATATAGATCCACCAGCAGTGATGATTAGAAGTGGTGCAGCTCTGGACTCCACATTACCTGTACTGGATATTATTAACCTTCTAGTCAAACTCATGAGCAACACTTAGGATCTCACTGAACTTGGACATGCCTGTCTACAGCGAGACTGAGGATCCCCTGTATTCATTAGTCTTTGGATTTCTTCTGTGAACAGCACCTCTGTAGTCACTGCTTACTTTATCATCACAATGTTTATCTTTTACTGACCTCCTCCTCCTCCTCCTCCTCCATTATTATTGTTGTTGTTACTGACAGTAGCTTGTCTATAGTACAGGCTATATTTTTCTTTAATCCTATCTTTTATTTCTTAGCCTTCTTGCCTGTGTCTGCCAGGGAACTATTATTGTTTTCAGGGATTGGTGTCTCATTAGGGTGGCCTTTTTAGATTATAGAAACTTGTTTTGTTTTATGGATAGGGAGTCTGGAAACTGTAACTGGCCAGTTTTGAACTTGCAGCTGTCCTCCTGCCTCAGTCCTGGAAGAGCTGGGCTACCTCACCTAGTTCAGAAGTCATTTCTTCAGGCTTAGGCAGCTCCGCGTTTGTAAATGGGAAGCAGCTGCACTCCAGTCCTGAGTGGCCAGTTCACACCTCTCTTGCCGATCTGATCTGCCCTGCTTTCTAGATCTGCCCTGCTTTCTAAAAGAAACTCCTGGGTGTAGAAGGATCTTTTTTGAAGGTTGCCTTTGTTCTGCTTATCACCTATCTGTGTGTCACAAATCTTATTTCAGGTCAGTCTGCTATCTTACTGAGAAGCCACACATCTCTGTACTTTATCATCTGTCTTCTCTTACACTTTCTCATTTCCAAAGGAATTTTATAAGCGGAGTTTCAAACCCTTATGAAATAATGTTTGTGCCTTCACTGTTACAGACTTAGAAGTAGCCTGTGGACAGTCATCAGCTTCTTTTCTCTTGCTCCTGTATCAACCTGTATATCCCCCTGCCTGTTTTATACACAATTTAATTTATAATATCCAAAATAACACTTTTGGCTGGTGGTCTAGAGGAGCACATGAATTTATCCACATAGTAGCTTTCTCAGAGTATGAGCAATGGATTCTTCTTGAGTCTGCAATCTACATACTTGACCTACCTGCATGGGGCTGCTTGTCCTCGGTTGGCCTCACAAGTCTTTCCAGGGGGACAGAGGTTCAGGTCCTGGTTGTCCAGGGTCCCATGGCTCTCATGTCCCTGTTTGCAGTGACACTCTGCTTCCTCTGTCCACTCGTTCTTTACACAGTGGGCAAATTTGCCACAGTCTAGGAGTTTGCAGGGGTCTGCCTGATCAGCTGCAAGAGACAGGGCAGATGTTGATGAATGCATGGGCATCTAAACAGTGTGACTAGCAGCAGACAAAAGCAAAAGAGCAAATGTATTTGCCATGGCCTCAATTTTGGAGTGGGCTGTACTGGACCGATTAGGCTGCAGGAAAATGAGAAACATACTTCGTATCTTTGATAAACGAATCTAGACCAGGGTGGTAATATATTTAGTTCCAACTGTAATTATGCACAGACTTTGGAGCACAGCAAAGTCATCTGGAGGCCTTGTTCAGACAGATTCCTTCAGGAGGGGAATCGTAAATCTAGAGCATCTCAGGATGCCTCAGTCTGGGAGCACACTGGCCTCATCAACCTGTGCTTGCTTATACAGAACTGACAGCGAGCCCACACCAGTGTCAAATGTGTAGCCATTGGATTACTGTCCTTTCTGCATTGAAAGGATTTCCTTTTTAATTATATTAACTGAGTCCATTATGTTCAAAGGCCCAGGGCAGTCAGCCATGTGTAAAACCACTCTTTCCTGAAATCCCAGGAAATAATTTACATGATTAATTCTACATATGAGATCCAACTCGTAGAACACTATGAGTTTGATAAAAAGATGGATTTGGAGCCAAGTCAACACAGCAGGAGTGGTTTAAAACTGAGGTTTGAAAACGAGGACTAGCGAGGTGACTCAGTGAGTCAAAGTACCTGCCATGAAGCCCACTGGCCCAACAACAACAACAACAACAACAACAACAGCAGCAGCAACAACAGCAACCAGGTACCACTTTCTCATCGCCTCCTCAGTAACCACAAGGATTTACACATTTTAGGCAATAGGATCCACAGAGGATTTTTTGCCCAACGAAAGACTGATCAGAAATGTGCTTCAGAATATGAGGAATTAGAACTTGTATGTATTTAAGTATGACTTCAGAAACCCTCTGGGCCAATATTTCCCTAGTGGGAACATTTATAGAACTCTGATTCAGCAGGACTTAATATGCTTTATACTAAAAAGAGAAGTGCTGGCTAAACAAATTTAAAGAACGCTATGTGACTATTGGTGAGAATGTAAGTTTGTGCAGGCATTATAGAAAACAGAATGTTGGCAGCCTCTAATTAGAAATAAAACCACCAATGATTCAGCAATACCACTATTGAGTATGTACCTGTGGTGGTTTGAATGAGAATGGCCCCTACAGCCTCATGTATTTGAATGCTTAGTCACCAGGGAGTGGAGGTGTTTGAAAGGATTAGAAGGATTAGGAGATGTAGCCTTATTGAAGTAGATGTGACCTTATTGGAGTAGGTGTGGCCCTGTTGGGGGAACCGTGTTGCTAGGATGGGGTTTTGAAGTTTCAAAAAGCTCATACTAGGCCTAGAGTCTCTCTTTGCTGCCTACAGATCACAATGTGAAGCTTTCAGCTACTTCTCCAGCACTATGCCTGCTTACATGTTGTCATATTCTCTGCCGTGATGAGACTGGACTAATCCTCTAAAACTCTAAGCAAGACCTCAATTAAATGCTCTCTTTCATAATATTTGCCTTGGTCATGGTGTCTCTTCACTGAGACATTGCTCAAAGAAAATAAAATTAGTACATTGTAGAGACATCTGCACTTCCACATTTGCTGCAGCACTATTCACAATGAGAATAACCTAAGTGGACACTAACTGATGGATAAAACAGGTCTCTCTCTTTCTCTCTCTCTTTCTCTCTGTCTCTCTGTCTCTGTCTCTCTGTCTCTGTCTCTGTCTCTCTCTCTCTCACATACATACACACACACACACACACACACACACACACAGAGAGAGAGAGAGAGAGAGAGAGAGAGAGAGAGAGAGAGAGAGAGAGA